CAGGGACTACAGTACCCAGAAGACTGTGCCTTCCCCAATCATAGAACTACACTACCCAGACTCCTTGGTGTGACTCCCCGAGACTGTATTACCCAGAAGATTATGCATGCCCCACCATAGGCAGAAGCCTTAAAACACCCCTATTCTGGTACCCATAATCCAACGTGTGACGCTCTCTTCCAGGATTGCAGTACGCAGAAACTCTGTGCCTCAACCGCAGAACTACAGTACCCAGAAACTTCAGCGTGCCACACACCTCCCCATGGTTGACAGTATCCTCCCCAGGACACCACCTCCCCCATGACTATGGTACCAGGAAGTACCAAATACTTGTAGTCAGTGGTTTACAAAGAAATAGATTTAATACAGGGCACACATAATTTATAGGATTAGGCTCAGTGGTGCCGCCGCATGCCTTGCAACCGCCTTGCAAGCGCAAGGAGCCAAGTTCAATCCCTGGTACAAAAACAAACAAACAAAAAACCCTGTAATATTCACCCAGAAAGTCAAATGCAGACCTAAAGAGACCTGTGCTAGAGACCTAAAGAATCCAACCAAGTCTTGGAACCCACAGCAATGTCTTGCAAAGTCCAGCGAAAGGCCTAGAGCTCACAGAAATGTCCTACATGAGTCTGCATCAAGGATCTGCACTGGGAAGCCCCAAAGGCCAGAGGTGGATTTTAGAAAGTCAGCTAGTGAGGTAAAGGATCTGTGCCAGAAGGTGGAGAGATATACACTGGAGCCAGGAAGTGACACTCAAGGCAAAGACCAGAGCTCCCCCAAAGAAAAAAGAAGCCATCTCCAGTGATAGTGAGGACCACAGCTCCTTCTCTGAGAACTGCCAAATTCCTATCAGGAAAACCAGCTGCGGCAAGCTTCTCTAGGAAAATCAACAGCATGCATGTTTCCCTCCTATTCTCCTTTTCTGTGCCATTGGCAACAATCCTCAGGTGGGTCTTCCACACCCAGAACCACAATGACAGTTCAGCTGGGCATTCCACTTAAATTGACTATTTGTCAATCCGCCACGGTAACCAAAATCCTCTGCATGCACACACCTGTACTACAGTAGCCTTAAGTATCACTGTGACATCACCACCACCCCTGCTTCCAGGATACCAGACAATTCCACAACTGGAACTGCAACAACCGGGAGACACACACAGAAAAACAGGACCCCTCTCCCCCAGAACCCTCTGGTTTCTCTGCAAGGACTAGATACCCAGAATGATTCCCAAGAACTCTGCTACCCAGAATCCTCAGTGTAACCCTTAAAAATACTGCATTACCCAGGACCCTCAGCGTGGCTGTCCTGAGAATTGATACCCACAGCCCGCAAGATTTCAGTACACAGAATCCTCAGTGTACCCCCTCTTAAAGAGGAAGGTACCCTGAATCCTTGAATCCTTGGCAGGCTCCCTCATGAACTAATATACCTAGACTCCTGAGACACACCCAGAACTGTTACACAAAATCCAGGTGTGTGGGCCAGGGATTTAGCTCAGTGTTTCTGCTACCTGCCTTGCAAGCTCAAGATCCCAAGTTCGATCCCCAGTACCAAAAAAAAAAAAAAAAAAAATAAAAAAAAAAAAAAAAAAAAGAAAAGAAAAAGAAAGACCTTGGTGTGTTTTCAGTCCCCTCCCCCCATGGAATACAATATCTTGAATCCTCAGTGTGCTCCCATGGGATTGCAGTACCCAGAACTTTTTGCATGACCACCACCCCCACAGTACCTAGACTCCTTGGTGTGGCCAATTACTACAGTTAACAGGATCCTCAACCAGTCTCTGCAGACTCATTGCCCAGGGTCTAAGTATGGCCATCCACTTATCTTTATAATACAGTCCTCAATGAGATATGCTAGGGAGTCTAAGATCCTTTGGTCCAGGGGGCAGGGATGTGGTTCTTTTCTAGTCTCTAGTTTCTATATTTTTAGGAGCATTATGAATACTTTGAGAACATTTGCCATTTCTGTGCTGCAGATAAAAAATTTCCTCAGTGCCTTTGGACTTTGATCTATTTTACCACACAAAATTTAATTTTCATCCTAACGTAGTGGTGTATGCCCGTAATGCCAGCAATTAAGAGGCTAAGGCAGGAGATTCACAAGTTAAAATCCTGTCTGAGCTAAGTAAGTGAGTTCAAAGTCAGCCTGATCTACATAGCGATACAAAGTCTGAAAAAAAAAAAAAAAGGGTGTTCACTTCAGCAGCACATATACTAAAATTGGATCAATACAGAGATTAGCAAGGCCTGAGCAAAGATACACACAAATTCATGAAGTGTTTCATAACTTTTTATTCTGTGTATTTAGAATGAAGTCATGAAAAACTTTATAAAGACATTTTAATCATTCCAAAAAAAATCGTTTTGTTTTTTTGGTTTTTTTTGGTAGCAGAGATTGAACTTGCAAAGCACGTGGCAGAACCACTGAACTAAATCCCCAGCCCTCAATTCAATTTTCTTTTAAAGCAGTCTTTACCCTCTGATTTATGGTTTTAACTACTGACTTAAATACAGTGCAATAAGTGTGTAATACACCATTTATATGTGCACATTCATTTACATTTGGACATGTTGATTTCTGGGATTTTTTTTTTTTACAGAGCCTTGCTATGCAGTTTAGGCTTTGAACTCACTATGGTATCCCAGGCTGTTCTTGAACTCACAACAACCCTCCTGCCTATCTCTCAATGGCTGGGAATACAGGCTTGTGCCACTGTGTCTGACTCTAGGATTCTTTTTTTTTTTTTTTTTTTTTTTTTTTTTTTTTTTTTTTTTTTTTTTTTTTTTTGGTACAGGGGATCAAACTCAGGACCTTGCTCTTGGGAGGCAGGCATGGTGCCACTGAGCTAAATACCCAGCCCTCTAGGATTTTTTTTTAAACATTATTTTATGTAACGGTGCACCAACACCATCATAAACTTTTTATCATAGGTTTAGCAGGACCACAGCAATTTTATCTTTCAGGGCTTTACTGACATTACTATTTCATATATATATACTGGTAGGGTTTCAACAACCACATCACAACTCATATTGAAATTTAATTTCCTTTATGAAATATTAAATGGTTGGTAGTGGGGGAGTCTTTAAGTGGTGGTTAGGTCATGAATGGAGGAATTCAGCCATAGAATGTCTGAGTCATCTGTGAAGTGGAACTCTTAGAAAAGCCGGGTTGGCCCAGTGTTTGTATGCATCTCTGCCTTGGGATTCTACAGAGTAGCCCCACAGATAGTGGTCCCCTCAGCAATTGGAGGCCCTTGACCTTGAATCTTCAGGACCTCAGGCTGAATAAAACTTTATTCATTACAAATTATCCAGTCCAAGGTGCAATTACAGTAACAGAAAATAGCTTAACTCATTGAGCAGACTTCACCTCCAGAAAATAATTAAATCTATTGTCTTTCATTAGTCATATCAGTATTTTATAACAGATTAAATAATTCTATTTTTCATATGTAAGAATGTCATCTCATTTGAATATGTTAGGAGTGAAGTATCACTACAAGGATTTTAAATGCCAGCTCCCTATAAATTGTAGCTAGTCACACAATGTCAAAGCCCTGAGGACAATCATCAAGAATGCTGTACCCTTCCTTTTTATTGCTAAATAACAGTCCACTGTGAGGGTATATTATTTTGTTTATCCATTCAGTAGCTGATTTTTTTAAGTGCTGGGGATCCAATCCAGAACTTCACACATCTAGGCAACTAGTCCACTCTCACACTGAGTTACACTATCAGTCCCTTTAAGTTAATATTAACAGTACTGCCATGCACATTTACATAGGTTTCCACGTGGACGTGTACTTATTTCTTTTGGGAATGTACACCTTGGAGTGGAAATACTGGGTTTTAGAGTAAGCATTTAATCTTTTGAGGAACTGCCAGACTATTTTCCAAAGAGGTGCCAGTAGTACATTTCTAATTTTTCCAAACCTCACCAAAATTTGTTATCACTTTTTTTTTTTTTTTGGACAGGATCTCACTATGTATGTAGTTCAGGCTGTCCTTGAACTCACTCAGTAGCCCAGGTTGGCCTGTAACTTGCAATGATCGTCCTACCTCAGTCTTTAAAGTACTACGATTACAGGAGTGAGTGTGCCACCATGCTCAACTTACTTCTTTTTCAAACAAAAAAATAATCCGGGTTTGTTGGTGTGGTTTAGTGGGAGAGCACTTTCCTGGCATGCTTGAGGCTGAGTTGGGTTCCTAACACCATGGAGGCACAGAAGAGCAAATAACCAATTTCTGGGCACTTGTAGCCCCAGCTACTCAGTCTGATCCAGGAGGGTCACTTGAACTCCAGAGTTCAAGGCCAGCCTGGGCTACATAGCTAGATCCTATCTTTAAAAAGATCATATTGGTAGATTTAAAGTAGTATTAAATTTTGACTTGCAGGGCCAGGGATTTAGCTCAGTGGTTCTGGTACCTGCTTTGCAAGAGCAAGGTCCCAAGTTCAATCCCTAGTACCAAAAAAATTTTTTGACTTGCATTTCCTTAATCGCTAATGATGTTCACCAGCGCCTGCCTGCCATCTGCATATCTTCTTAGGTGAAATGTTTCCTCAAATCTTTTTGGACTGGGCTAGGGATTTAGCTCAGCAGTTCGGTGGCCTGCCTGCTAAGTGCAAGGACCCGAGTTCAATCCCTGGTACCGCCCCCACAAAAAGAAACTTTTTGGACAGCTAGCCAAAGGCCAAAATGAGTGTTTATACAAAGCATTTGCAGGAACCCTGCCATATACTACGGACTTTAAAGTGAATTTTAATTTTGTACTTGTTGTGCTGACCCAAAAGAATGAAGTTTCCCTGTGAACTCTCTGGTTTGGAGTTAGAGCCAGTGCTGTCTTCAGTGGAAAAGAACAAGAACATTCTGCTTCCTCAGCAGGAGGGTAAAGGAAGAAATTAAATGTGCACAAAGGGTCCATCGTGATTAACTTCCACTGGAATCTTCTGATGAAGCTTGACTTCTACATTTAGGCATGAGAACTTCAGGTTAGAGATACTCAGTCACTTCTCCAAGGCTGAAAGTTTCAGTGGTGGAGTCCGAGACTTGAACTCAGAGGAAATGTGGATCCCAAAGGCACATGCCTCTTTTCCAAAGCAGCCCCATTGCCCAACACAAGCAGTGAGTTGGGGGGGGGGGAATAAGCACCAGGAGGCTAGAGCTTCAGGGCCTAAGAACAAAGACAGCCCTGCTGCTCAGTAGCAGCACAACCAGGTTAAGGAGTGTATGATCTCCAGGCCTTGACATCTTCTACAAAGTGAGGAAACAATACCTTTCATGGGGCAGTTGTGCACCTAACATGGTTCCCAGCCCACAAGAACATCAAAAGCTTTCTCCTTTGGGTCTGGGCTACGGATCCACACCCCACAAAGGATTCTAGCTTTTCTCTGCAATTAGTTTTGACTCATCCCAAAATTCAAAGTCTTACCCAGGCCTGTAATCCCAGCATTCTGGGAAGCTGAGGCAGGAGGCTCACAAGTTTAAGCCTTGCCTGTGCAACTTGTGACCCTGTTTCAAAATTTAAAAATTTAAAAAGATTGGGATGTAGCTTAATGTGAAGGCCCTGGGTTGAGTCCTCAGTAGCCTGCAAAAAAACAAAAACATAAACATAGTATATTGACCCTGACCCTGGGGACAGAGTTGGTACAGAATCCTTAAGAGTCTCTGAGCCTGACCCTGTATTTTCTCTTATCCATACCTGTTACCCTTGGACAGTACAGAAAGGACCTGGTAATGGTCTTAAGTATTCCAGAACAGTGACAGATGATTAAGCATAGGAAAAAGCAAAAAACTTTATTAAAGCAGCTAAACTCTGCACTAGATAACACTCAAAACGATACATCCATGAAATAAGGATCAAACAGACATAGCATTATGCCACACACTTCTGATTAGAAAAATTGTATGTGTGTGTGTGTGTGTGTGTGTGGTACCAGGGATCAAACTCAGGACCTTGTGCTTATGAGGCAGGCACAGTGCCACTGAGCTAAATCCCCAGCACTGACTAGAACAATTCTCACTTCTCCAAATTTAGAGAATCCTTTTCATGTTATTTCTCTCTCACCTCCTTGCCTTGGAATCAAACTGATTTGCCTTGGACTGCAGCTGAAGGACCAGACCTTCTGACCAAGGTGGGTGCTGACACAGGTACCACCCCCTCTCTGCCAACAGAGGGAAGTGTACACGGTTTGTCTGGCTTCCAGTGTCGAACACCCCTTTAGAGCGTCTTCCTACATGGGATATGAGAAGAAACGAGCTGCTTGATGTGAAGAAATTCGAGTTTTTATCACCAGGACCTGAAATATCTGGACATGCCCTGTCTGCACAGCTGGGAGTTCTGCCAAGGGTTCTGGGTCACAGGGAGAAGGGCAGGGGTACCTTAGTCCTTCTTGTCTCCTGGGACTGGGCTCCTGGTAAGGAGCTTCCCTGGGCTGGAGGGGACCAGTGTAGACACCATAGGAGATTCCAGCTTCACTCTGTCCCGGAGGGTCTTCTTAAGGGCAGCTGGGGAGATCTTTTCTTGGTCAGCCATGAACTGCAGCTCCCTACAAAGTCCCAGACAAACTCAGAAAGGAAATAAGCCTTGCAGTCAGAGCTTTGAGTCTTTCCCACCCACACAGCCCCAAACCCTTAATTTGACTTCACCAATTAGAATCTCAAACCAAAAGCTCACTCAAGCTTTGTAGAAATACTATTTGTCTTATCTCACTTGATCTGAGCTCAGGTGGTATCGGATCATGAGGAGGGGGAGTGTGAATTTGAGTAAGTCATGCTTCCCATTTTGTCAGAGGTTGCAATTTTGAATTTGAAAAATCAGATCTTGGTAATGACCTTGACCAGTAGGATATAAATACCATGAACTCCAGAGGTTCAGCATTCCAATGATGGAACCCTGAGCAAAAAAGTTAACAGAGCACAGACTAGCACTGCTAATAGGACCTGAGGCGTCAGGGAAAAAGAAACACAAGATGGTGCCCAGCTGAGCCCAGCCCAGCCCAGGGACACTGAAATAACCCACCGTGTTCGGATACAAGAGGCCTCAACTGCATTAATGAGCAGAGAACGGAAGCCCCCGCTCTCTAGGAAGTGCAGGGCATGAATGGTGGCCCCTCCAGGGGAGCAAACATTATCCTTGAGCTGGCCTGGATGGTCCTCCGAATCCAACAACATCTTGGCAGCTCCCTATGGCACAAAGGAGCATTAGAGGAGAAAGTATACCTTGGGACAAGATATCCCACACCCTGCTACTGGCCAATTCCAACCAGCTTCCCAACCAACCCATCCCCAGCTCAACAACCCAGGAGAATGTCCATCACACACCCTGGTCCCATGAATGCAGGAAAAAGACACTGACCAGCAAGGCCTGGGCCCCCAGTCGGACTGCAAGGCGCCGAGGAACACCCATCTTTACCCCACCATCAGCCAGCGCATCCAAGGCCATGAATGCCTAAGAAGACACTCAATGAGCCTGGGCAGCAGCACTCATGGCTCTCCCCTTGGTCTGCTTTCCCAATGACTAGAACTAGCTCCAAGGGTCCATTTCCCCCACCAGCCAGCCACACCCAAAAGGAAGGTACTGCCCCCAGCCCAGGCCTGCCCTGGCTGTGTGCTTAGGTCTCCCAAAGGGGAATGAGTGGGTGAAGGCCTCACATAGGCAGGGCCACTGCCACTAAGCCCTGTGATGGCGTCGATTAGGTCTTCTTCCACCTCCGTACAGAAGCCCACACTGCTCATCAGCTGCTCCAGGAGCTGCCCATCCTCCACCAGGGCATGAGTGCCAGTGGCATACACGGTAGCACCCTCTCGCACCACCACAGGTGTATTTGTCATGCAGCGAATCACTTTGGGGGCAGGCTGGAACACCATTAGCTTCTGGAGCAAGACAAAAGGCCAAGTGAGTGGCCAGGGCACAGCTCCTAGTCATCAGCTGCCACTCACAGGCCACTTTCCTCTCACACAAAAGGTAAGAGGGTATGGAGCTGAGATGAGCACCTTCTCTACAGAGCTGATGGTGACACCGGCTGCACAGGAGACTACAATGTGCCTGGCTTGTACATCCGCCCCGATTTCATCCAGGATGAAGGGAATAATGTGTGGCTTCACAGCCAGGAACAGGACATCGCTGTGCCGCACAGTTTCCTTGTTGCTGCGGGTCAGGTTCACGCCCATCTTCTATGGGAAAAGACAAACAGCCTAACAGTGCTGGGCAGCCTGGCTAAGCCAAAGCCTCTTAGAGAAGAGCTGAACTCCTCCCACCAAGCCCACTCTGACAACTGCAACCACAATTCCTTGCCCTGTGCCCTCAAATCCCCATCCAACCCCAGATAACAATTTTCCAATCCTGCTGCTGGGTAAGCACAGGTACTAGGCATGCCAAGGTTCTCCACAGTAGCCAGGAAGGGGCTGTCCCCTCCCTCATCCTCACCAATCTCACACACAAGGCACCCCTCTGCCCAGTGAGAAAGCTCCATGTTGTACAGAGTATGGGCAAAAGGAAAGGGGAAATGCTAGTACCCTGTGGTTGGAAAGAGAGCTGGGCTGTGCCTCATTCTAACCCCAGCCACTCAACTTGACAGACTACACAGCCTCTCTGTGGACCCCAAGCAGAGAAGCAGGGCCCTCCAGTGCTAGGACATCAGCCCATACATCCTAGGCACAGCCACGCCTGTCATTTGCCTCCTTAGCCACCTCTCCCACATCTTGGAGGATTTCCCAGATTTTGGAAGATTTGGAATTAGGCTTTTGGAGACAGGAACAGCTAATATGACAGGTTCTTTCCCAGCACTCTCTCACACGTCAGGACAACAGAAAAGTACTGTAAATAAGGAAATAGCCTCAGCTTGGCTGAGTACTCCAAGAACATACAACTAAATGACAAATAAGAATGAGTCTTACTACATGTCAGATGCTTTCCATGTTAATTCTCCAACTACCCCAGTGTCTGGATTTGATCCAAGTCAGCCAGCCTGGGCGCTCCCACCTCACTCAGCTGTCCCACAAAAGATAGAGGGATTGTGATAACCCTGAGGAGATGTTGGCACCCAGAGAAGGCCAGCCCGGGGATCCGGAGCCAGCCAGACTTGGTCTCGGGTCATCCTTTTCCTAGCCCTCCTCCACCCTCTTCACACCGCTGCGCCTCACCTACCCTGAGCGCAGACACGGTGGGCAAGTCCATTTCCGGGGAGCTGGCTATTATCTTGTGAGCAGACAGGATGCCTGCGGAATAAATAGGGCTTTTTAACTGGGGTCGACAGTCCATCGTGTAGTCACGATTTCCCTGGGAAAGCAGGATCAACTGCTCTATCTACCAGGGCCAGTAATCGGTTACACGAGAATCACGAGTCTCACTCTCCCCACAAGACACAAGGTCCCCTTTTAGTCTCTCAGGCATGCATGCATTCATGCTGCTGGGGTGAAGGGTGAAGACCAAGCCCAGGGCCCGCCAGGGATCCGCCGCCCGCCCCCACGCGCTCACCTGCAGCAGTGAAGCCCCGGGCCAGCGCACAAGCCAGCTGGCCCGCGCCGATGAAGCCCACGCTCATGCTCAAGACTCGCAGCTCCCAGCAGCCTCGGGAACCAGGTGCGCAACCGCTGGGAGACTCTGCCAGAGGAAGGACGAGGCGACGGAGGCGCCACCGATGGCCCGCAGAAAGACCCGTATCCGAGGACTTCCCCGCAGCTTGAAGCCTAAGTCAGACTAACGCAGTCCGGGTGGAGCTGCACGGCCACTCTCACTACGAAAGCGGCGGGCGGCTGGGCCAACGTAAGCCACGTGGTCAGGATATAGGCCAATCCGCGGCTCGGAGCTCAGGAAGGGCCAATCCGCGGTCAGGCCAAGGCCGTGCGCCCGCCTCCTCCGCTCGCGCCTGGCGGACAGACCTGTTCCGCGGAGCAGGCGCCCTCTTTCGAGCGTGGACGCACAGTCCCTGCAGAGGCTGACCGAGGTCTAATTCGTAGCTTACTCACATGTAAGCCGCCCGTAGAACCGAGAGGGTTTCTCCAAGCCTCCGATTTGAGATGAATGCGCCCCACCTGCGGGAGCTCGGACCTGTGGGCTTAGTGAGACCGAAGCCAGGCCCGGAGTCCACAGGCCTCGGCTCACTCCCGCGCTCTGCTTCCCACCGGAGGCGGCGGTCTGTGCGCTTGAATTTACGCGAGCCACGGGAGACCGTCTCATCCAGATCGCCAGGGGCGCCTGCCTTCTACCTGGGAATAGAGGGCTGGAAGAACCAGGGAGTCTCCAGCTCCTCCTGCACCACAGCGTCCCGGGGCCCCGCCGCCGCTTGTTTTGAAAAGCCCCACGGAGGTGGCGTTTCCGGCGTCATCTATAGTAAATATAAGCATGAGGGGGCTGGGGATTTAGCTTAGTGGTTGCAGCGCCTACGTCGCGAGCTCAAGGACCTAAAAAAAAAAAAAAAAAAAAAAAAAAAAAAAAGCATGAGGGCTGCGGGGAACAAGCGACAGAGTGCAGTATCTCTAAAACAATATCATTGAAAAATATTACGTACCTATTGAAATTTCAACAGCGCACCTCGGGGTGCAACTCAGTAGTAGGTCCTGAAGCATAAATAAATAAAAATACAAAAAAGTAGCGGAGGGTAGTGGTGTCGCACACCTGTATTCCCAGCACTCCGGATGCTGAGATAGGATCGCTGTAAATTCGAGACTAGCCTAGGCTACACAGTGAGTTCAAGGTCAGCCTGAGTCACACTGTGAGACCCTGTCTCAAAAACAAACTCAGCCATAAAGAATGAGAAATTAGACTCATTCATAGGAAAATGGATACATATTGAGGACATAATCCTAAGTGAAATAAGTCACACCTGTAAACTCCGAATAGTTTCTCTGGTGTAAATAAACTGTGATAGTACATAAGATCCTAATGAGATATTGGGAAGAAAAGGGCCAAAGGTGTAGGGAAAGAGGGAAGGGTAGGGGAAAGATAATAAGATAAAAAAATATGAGAAAATGAAAACAATGGCAATAAAGTGTTTGTAAAGGGGAAGGAGAGGAGGGGGTGAAGGGAGGGCAGGGACAAGGGGAAAAAGAACCAAGACCACCTGTCATGTAAAGGTACAGAATCCCAATAAATGAATGTAACTGTACTGTATACATAAAATGTACCAGTAAACTCAATTAAAAAAAAAAAGAATGTCATAATCACCCACAATCTGCTGGGCCTGGAAACAGGCAGGAAAATTGCAAGTTTCAGGCCTAGATGGGCCACATAGCCAGACCCTGTCTCACAAAACCAAAAAATCACTCACAATCGTATATCATACTTTCTAAGAATAGATTCTTCCACACACTTTGGTGTTTCTTTGGTTTTTTTATGACAGAGTCTACGTAGTTCAGCCTGGTTTTGAACTCAGTGTGTAGATCAGGCTTCTCTTGAGTTTGTGGTGAACGTCCTGCCTCAGCCTCCTGAGTGTTAGGATTACAGGTAGGTACCCCCATACCTGGCTATGTTTTGTTTTGTTTTTATGAGGGTTTTTTGTTTTTATTTTTTCAGTACTGGGGATTGAACACATCTCCTTAACACTAAACTACATCCCCAGCCTATTATGTTTTTTAAATTTTGAGACAGGGTGTTGCTAATTCAGGCTGTGCTTGACTTTGGGATCCTCCTTTCTCAACCTCCCAGAATGTTGTAATCACAGATATGCACCACCACACCCATCTTGTCTCTTTACACTATTATTTTCTATGCAAATGCATTTTTTACCACCACAGGAAACAAAAGATGTACATATTGTTTTCGCAGGTCTAGAGTAGATGTAAGCATTTCCCAATGTCACCAAACATTTATTGAAATAAAGATTTTTAAACTGGGCGTGGTGGCTCACGCCTTTAATCCCAGAACTCGGGAGGCTGAGGCTGGAGGATCGCTGTGAATTCCAGACCATCCTGGACTACATAGTGAGTTCCAGGTCAGTAAACTACATAGTGAGACCCTGTCTCAAAAAACAAAACGAAATTAAGATTTTTGGCCAGGCAGGGTGGTGCATGCCTGTAATCCCAGCACTCAGTAGGCTGAGGCAGGAGAATCGCTGTGAGTTCAAGACCAGCCTGGACTACACAGTGAGTTCCAGGTCAGTCTCGACTACATAGTGAGACCCTGTCTCAA